TAAGCTTTCTCTAAAGGGTGGCTGACCTCTCCTTTATAGACAGGGTGAAGAGTGCGGTCATTTAAGAGGGGCTCGGAGTACAGACGCTACTCCTCCACATCAAAAGGAGCCAGTTGAAGTGGTTAGGATGCCTCCTGTGTGAGATTTTCCAGGCATGTCCTGCCCGAAGGAGGCCACAGGGTAGACCAGGGACACACTGAAGAGATTATATCTCTCAGATAGCCAGGGAATACCTTAGTGTTCCCCTGGATAAGCTGGAGGACTAGGATAGGGACAGGGAGGTTTGGGTGTCTCTTCTTAGGCTGCTACCCCAGCGAACCGGATAAGAGGAGGAAAATGGATGAATGGATGGACGATCAGTATGCTGAGAATCCAACATAAAAATTTACAGATCAGATAAAAAAGTAAAAAGAAAAGGATGGGACAAACTGTCTGGCATATTACGGTGAATTACGCCACAATATCACTGCAGTGACGACAAGTCTGAGCCACTGCTGGCTTTAATCAGGGCAAAAAGCACTCTGGTGTAAATTGCTAATTAAATTAAATTGCTAATTATAAAGAATAAGTGAGGACAGCTACATTGAATTCTCACAGGAGAAGAGAACGAGTCTGTTTCTTATTGGACTGAAGGCAGGTGGACTTTATCCACTGCTACTAGATACTACACAAGAAAGGTAATCGATATTAAAACCCAACAGTGTGAAATTTTTATGAGAAAGATCAATTACATTTGAATTTCATTACCTTAGCAGTAACCAAGGTTAAAATCTCAATTCTTTCAGCCATGGCATTCGCCTTCTAATAACTGCGGCGCCTATGGATGCACTGTAGTGTCAATTCTGCCAGTCAATGTCGAGCCAATACAATTTATTCTCCTGTAAATAACATGGCATCTGCAAAAAATCTGTGGGAATGGTGGCCATATGATCATAAAATGCTTTATAAGTTAAGGCACTAACAATCTCCTTCTGCACAAACTTCTTTCTTTCTTTCCATTCGAGACAGCGGACGTGAAGGAAACTGTTAGCAATTATTGTAAGACAGGAGGCCGGGCACTGAAGGAAAAGCATGGGAGGTTATTTTGTTATGCAAGCCTCCCGGTAAGCTTTGCTTTGATCTCAGCTCAACACAACAGCAAACAGGATGACACAGAGGAATGAACACAATAAAGAATAGGAGGGAGGACAGGGGAGGTGCAGGTGCGTGGGACGGGATGATCAACCTGATGAGGACCAGACATTTGGCCGTAGCAGTTTCTAAAGCTTCACCCCTTAAAAAAAAGTCGCTTTGGTTCTCTCCCCTTATTTTTGTTGTTTTTCCATTATGACTAATCTGACAAATAAACTTGGAAAAATCTACATCTGATACAGGGCTTTTTCCTCGCTCAGGATGGGCTCAATCAGTCAATCCACAGTAAAAGTAATGTGTTACCCTATGAGATAGAAGTCCAGCATGTCCAGTACCCTCTTGCCTAACATCTGAACAGGCTCCATCTCTCTCCAACCATGAATGGTATAAGTCAGGGGTCCCCAATCCCAGTCCACGAGGGCCGGTGTCCCTGCAGTTTTTAGATCTCACCCTGGGTCAACACACCTGAATCACGTGATTAGTTCATTACCAGGCCTCTGGAAAACTTCAAGACATGTTGAGGAGGTCATTTATCCATTTAAATCAGCTGTGATGGATCAAGGACACATCTAAACCCTGCAGGGACACCGGCCCTCGTGGACTGGGATTGGGGACCCCTGGTATAAGTGGTTAAGAAAATATACTACATGTCCTACTTTACTTCTCTAACTGCAGATGCAATTTGTTACAAACCCAAATGCCAAGCACCAGCTCCTTCATGTCTATTTGTGTCTCACCCTCTCGCTGCGAATGGATCCCGTGACCTCATCGTCGTTGAGGTGTCGTTTAAACTTCGGTGGCATGTTGTCTTCAGGCTGCTCCTCCCGGTCTGGCTCCCTCTGTAGGACAGGAGAAGAAAAATCATCAATGAAGCTTTACCACACTGTGGGAGAACTTAAAACAGAGTTAGACACCTGAATTGAGAAGATTCCAGTATTGGTAAGAGGAAAGGAGTTACAGACATAACCACATGCAGAGTTTACAAACATACTGAGAATCTAAACATTATAAATGACTAAATGTGAATTCACGGTTCAGCAATACAACTCTATTTGTTTGTTTAGCTACTTTATTTCACTGAGCGCTACACTCTTATTGTTCTGGATATATTGAGCCACTTTAATGCAAGACATCTGTATTCTATTTTATTCATCTG